ATGACAGAATTTTATCGATTTGTTCCCTCAATTTTTATTGCATTTTTAATAATCCTCCCTTCACAGTCCCAATTTCTAATAAAAGGGAAAGTGAAAAAGAGAAATACAGTCATACAATTTGAAAATAACATTTCATCTACATGTCACAACGATTCAGTTTTGGATAACGTTGAATCTGTAAAGCGGATTGTGGATTCATCTCGATTTATATTTACGGGCAAAATTTCACAAGTGCAAACAAGGATGTATGGAATCGAACGATCGAAAAGGACTGTTTTCAAAGTGCTCATACGACGAGTTTTAAAAGGTGACTTAAGTGTGCTTAGTGATTTGTTAAATTTTGAAACGAGGACGGGCAATTCGACTAGATCGTACGTGTTTGCTGAAGGGGGTGGCACGAGGGGATTGTGTGTGTCTCATGGTTGGGCGGCGATATTGTTTGGGGACAGAGCGTATTCACCGCTAAGGCTTTTAGTTGATCCTGTACCTTTGACACTTGATAGGGTACGGAGAGTAAGATCTGCTGTTCAAGGTAAATAATCACAATGTTAATAGATAACGCTTAATTTTAATATAAGTTAAACAATATCCCGATATGTACCTATGACCTACTTTAACAATTACAAATACACCTACTAAGGAAAAAATTAAAAATTAATATAAAAACTCTGTTCGAGTACTATAATAAGAATGATATTAAGTTTATGTTATTATTATATTTAGTATCAGTACGACCTCCGACGGAGTGAAGGCCTCCTGGACAAATGGAAGATTTTGGAGAAGGCCGCTTCGAGGATCTTCGCTACTATTTTCCAAACTTACTATCAAAATGTAAAGTTCATTAATATACCCATTATCTAGAAAACTATAACAAAACCAATAATTAAAATATTCTTAAACGATTTAAGCCAACAGAATAGGTTGTTAGTTCACGTTACCCCAATAGTAATTATCTCTAACTTTGGTCTGTCAATAAACATTGAATTTGTTTGTTATCTTCGTTAACGTCAAGATTGAGTCGTGTACAAACAGTATAATTAAATTTTCATTCCAACATGGTAAATGCATCTGATCCAAGCTTTGTTTAATTCACAGATTTCACGGTAAAATCGTCGGTACTATCACAAAGATGATTATCGGGTGTGAATTGTTGAGACCAAACGTTGACTGGATTTAAAAGCATTAAGCAAGAATCCTTTTATAGATGTGACAATTGTATACGCATTGTCGCGTTAAGTGTGTTTTTATTAACGCATTCTGTATCTACATCATAATTAGGATTTATCTGTTTTTGGTTTTAGTAAATCAACAAATAAATACCCCTATTTGTCGGGACTAGAGTCATCTTAGTATTGTCTCTTATTAACATAACTTTTACACATTTAAAGAAAACACTTTTTTACCGGATTGAAGTTATGTATTATAAACTTATAATTATTTATTTCCGCGAAAATAGAGGACACCATGAGTCATTTCTGCCAAAACCCTCCATCTTTTAGTACATATAAACTCCGGGGAAATAAATACAGATAACACAACTTTTTCTACAGCTGTGATACTTTTTGAAATTCAACACCTTTGTCCTCAGTCACCGTGACCACGCACGCTGTAAAGCACGCGAAACGTCGGATTTTGTGTTTAATTATGTAAAATAATTATAAGTTTATACATAACTTCAATCCGGTAAAAAAGCGTTTTCTTTATATAGAAACATCTTCTTCATGTGCCACTTTATTACTAAAGGATGGCTGTTATAACTTGAATTCAAGGTATCTTGCGCTAGTCTAAACAGTTCCTAGGCGAATGTTATGCTGGTCCACTTCCGTACGTTCCACCACGACTTCTTCCTTCTACCACCCCGTCTCTTGCTTTGAATTTTGCCCATCATTATAAGCTGCAACAAGTCGTATCGATAATGATGCAAAACGTGTCCGAGATTAGCGACTTTCCGTATTTTAACAGTCTGCATTAGCTTTCAAGTCATCTGGACCAGAGTCATAATGTCATGAATTTAAAAAAATTTAATTAATTAATAATTGAGAAATGTCATGAATACGAGTATAAGCGATTTGAAGTTAAGTACAGTATAACGCTATTTACACCTCTACCAGCTACCAACTTATTCTATTACAGAAAGCTTTTTTTTTCTAATACAATTTTTAATACCACGTCGGTCACGATTTTACATGTGTAAAAACCCGAATTATTATAGATGCAAAGGCACCAAAATGAAATGTATTCGTGGAATAGATGCGTGGGCGGAGACGCCGTGAGAACACAACTCAAAAGTTATAAGATTTTACAATAGGTACCTAAAATCTGCTATTAAATAATAATAGGATCGATCACTTCAAAGACTTCACCGCGAGTCATTAGTTCCGGAATAAATGAAGCGGACATACAGATAATACGCGCCACTGCGTTTTAAAATTTAAATTAAGGAAATTCATTACTATAAATTATATCAACAAATCTTGTAATGCCTGTAAATAATAAGAATAATAAATATGACACAAAAGTAACATTAGATAACAAATCGATTATTTGATAGAAAGCCTCCGTAAGAGATTTATTATAATGAAGACATGGATTGTGCCAGATAAAAACAAACGGTCCTATTTTCGAACAAGGGTACAAATCCTTCGAGATGCATCGCAGCGCACTATCAAGTTTATCGGACCACCAGCGTCGCACTAGGACAACCTGCGACAAATTTATTGACACTCTTTCAATTAAAGCTATTGTTGCGGCAAACGCACGCACCGGTCACAACAGAATAAAACACGATAACTCGCAGCATGAATCTGTAATGCGTCTCTAGATATCGCCAGCCGCCCGCTCTATGCGCCGTAAAAGGAGATTTATTAAAACTATTTGGAAACTGATTCGATCGAAACCAAACGATTTGACATTTAGATAAGAGTTAAAAATTTATTTTTCCCTCGAATGCGTCGCCTCCGAGTGACAATGGAATAAAAAGGTTATAAAAATGTGCCGGTTGCGGCTGCTCGCCCACGTCCCATGGGCGTTGTCAAACGTTCGTGCGAGTTACATTTCGACTTAGGGCAAGCTGCCGCCGCCGGCAGATAAAATGCGACGAGTGTGTTATTACGAGCCGCCGATACTCGCAAGCATGTGTAAATTTCTATGTGAGAACACGGGATATAAGTTCACGCGTGGGCGGAAAAATGCGGCGACCGCAGGCCTACGCCGCCTAGTAATAAGTGCAACTATTTTTAATTTAAAACAACTTAATGATAAGTTGAAGAAATCTAGGCTTAAACATTCAGAAAACTCTAGTTTTGATTATTTGTGGTGCGTTCAACAAGTAAAAGTATTCTCACCGGAAACCGAAAGTAGTAAAAGAAGGATGACATAAACTTACCTAAGATTAAATAACGTAAGGTTACATTTTAATATTTGCATAATGTCATATGTCCTTCGATAAAGGTAATGTTTGAGGTAGATCCTTAAGACTTGGTATTATAACTATAATTTAGTATTATGAAACCCCTTTCAGGTAACTAAGTGTGTTTTCCTAAAGTTCTACCATAACTAACATTAACTATGTCAATAAACTAGTTTTGTCACACGTTGGTGTACACAACAAAGTTTAGGTCAGATTACAATTCTAATCGGGACGGTAACCTTGTGATTCTTTTGTCTATTGTTCTACATAAATTAACGAAAATTGATTCGAATTATTCGTCGAAGGTAATTTCATGGTTGGGAAATAAAATTCAATTAAGTTCAAGAATTATGATGTACTTTCATAATTTCCATTGTTCTAGTTAATTTGGTCTTTGATGCATAGAATTGTAAGGTTTCTTAACAACTTTTATTGACCTATAAATGTAAACCCGCCCAACAGTTACTGCGAACATTAACAACGGTTAATCAAAGTTATTTGTACTGAGTGTATTTTTCAATTAATTAAGTTGATAAACTTGTCGTGACTTATTTAGATAGCCTCACAAAGCATACTTTTATTGCGTTTTTTAAAACAAGAAAAACTATTTAGCGTGCAATCTTTTACACGATAGCTAAATATGATCTTTTAGTGGAAGTAAAAGTAATAGAAAACAATCTAGTGTTTTTTTAATTAAAAATAATCATTAACATCTGATAGCATGCTTTTATTAAGTGGAAAAATATCTTGAGTTTATATACCTAACGATATATCTTATAGATCAGATAGTACTTGGATAAATATTTAATATATCCAAGTATTGTCTACCCTTTAACAAGCCTAAAGAAATTGGACTAAATATAAAATATTTTTTTTTATGACTCAGCGTTTATTATTTGAAGGCCTTAGAGACAAAAGAGGATTAATATAAAACTATAAGAAGCTTAATTTTTTGTAAAGAATGAAAGAATGGCTAACCAAAAGCCTTTTTGTGATGATAAAGATGCCTCATAATGTTATCAAATATTTTATAAAATCTCTTTCCTTGTAAATTTGGCTGTCTTTTGTTTAACGGAATTATTTAAAAAGGTAAAGGGCTTATGTAGTTAATATTATCAATAAAATCAAGTTTTATACCATCTCAGATTATTTTACATGTCAATGTTTTTGCAATATAAATATATTAATGATGTAATGTCGTTATATAACTTTAACCGGTAATTTTAAGAGGAAAATATGTTAGAAAGAAGGGGATGTACGGATCGTAAAAGTCTGTTACGACGCGGGGTGCTTTTCGTCGTAAAGTAAAGCGTTGGTGCCGCAAACCGAATGAAATTGAACACCACGACATGCCTCGGGGCTTTGACAAGCACTCGTTATTGTCTATAAACTGAGTGATTTCCGGTTTAAACCTCATGCAATCTGTGCACTCATTTATTTTATTGTAAATTGAAAGCTGTCAAAAAATAAAACAAATGAAGTTCACCAAACCTTTTTGGTTTCTTAATTGGCGTTGGCAAGTTGTTTAAAGGCTAAATTTATATCATGAAAAATGCTTTCATTTGTCAGAGTTCCTACATCGGGCAGGGTAAAGTTACCTTTTAATAACTGATTCATCGACCGGGGTCACACATTTTATTCTCAAAAATACATTTGTAATTGACGATTAGATGTTATATAATAAAACGTAATATAATTGAAATTGATCTTACTACTAAACCTCGCGAACAAAGTCGTGACTTGGACTCAATTTATAATCGTTATACATTTTTTATGTGTATCTATTAAAAAAATAATCTACACAAGGAAAGACAAGAAAATCACTTATATTTATTCTAAAAAATTATTCGAACTAGGGAATCATTTACTTACGCAATTTCACCGTTTTAATTTTTTCGTTACGCTATGAGAGTTTTATCTATCTACGAGTCTTCTTGTTTTTGAATGCGGTTTTTATTGTTTTTTTATTCAATATCAAATATCATTCAACGCAGGTAGCAATACCCTTGACAGAAAAACCATTGCCGGAAATGAATAGAAAAAGACATATATGGACCATTTTAGTGATTCCGTTTTTTGTACAAAAGATATCTCGATTGATATTTCGTAATTTATGAATTTTATTTATTGG